GATAGAGGAAGAGATATGTATCGAGGGAGAAATAGCTTGAGACAGAGAGAAAGTGTAACATATGAAGAGAAAAACAATGATGTAGAGTGAAATGAAGAGAGATAGCCAGAGTGATATAGACAGAGAGAAGGCGAGAGAAAGAGAGAGGCAAAGAATATAAAAAGTCAACAGGGAGAGAGAGAGACAGAGAGAGAGAGAGAGAGAGAGATTGTGCGAAGTGAGCGTGCTTAGATCGTTATGTTTGCCAGATGGTGACGGACAATAACAACTTGATAAATTCTTGTTATTTACTCCTGCAATAATATAATAATTTAATAATATTTGCATGTGCGAAAACAACAACAGGATGAATCGCAGTTGCAATTGGGACTGCGGCTGCGACTGCGGCTGCGACTGCGACTGCGACTGCGATTGCGACTGTGACAGTAACTGCGAGTGGAGTGGGGCCTGTGGCCTGGGGCTCAGGCTGAGGTTGGGGTTGGGGTTGGGGTTGGGGCTGCAGTTGGTACGATGACGCGCTTCGGCTATCAAGGTTAGGACAAGCAAAACAAAATGCTAGTAAGTGAACAACAAAAGCGCTAAAAATCCACAAGCTACAAACATCACAACAGCAACAACAACAACAACAACAACAATAATATTAAGAGGCCGTTCATATTGCGCATACGACGCGTGTGTTGCGCAAAAAAAATGAAATCAAAACAGATGCGAAGCACAAGAAAACTTTGGTAATAATAAAATAAATATTACTCTAATTGGCCTTGCTCAACTAGCAGATACCCTATATAGTCCTTGACAATAATAGAGAGAGAGAGAGAGAGACAGATGGAGAGGGAAAGGGAAAGGGGTGAAGAGGTTAAGATATTTTAAGATCTTCATGCAGTCTCTTGTAGTCCGAAAAGTGAGAGTTTATTTAGTTGTGGTGAATAAGAAGTGAGAGTTACCTATTTGTGGATATATACGTAAATTGAGCCTAAAAACTTTAATAAATATATTCGATAGAATAAAGAAGAGATGTTCTGTGGATTCTAGATGAAAACGGGTCAGCTTAGATGTATTTTCTTCAGCTATACGCTGTCTGCTACATGCATTTGCTTGAAATCATTATACCCTGCCTATACATGGACTTAGGGTATGCAAAAAGTGGGCCCGTTTTGCTACCGAACGTGCCCCCAAATACAAACGCATAACTACGCACAGCCACACACACACGCACACGTTCGCTCACACATACATTTCTATTGCTGTTGATGAAGCTTAGAAAATCGCATTGGTGTCATGTAACCGACAATATATATCTATTTATGCCACAATCTCTGCTGCACGCGCCTCCAATTGTGTCACTTGCTATGCCAGTCAGAGAGTAATAGACACACACACACACATAGACACTCATATTCTTACAATCTTGCTCAGCAACGAGTTACTTTGGTATACGAGAGTCATTCATCAAGTTGTTTTGTTCGCCACATGACAACAACAACAGCAACAAGTTCGACACGTTGACAACAAGAACAGATGATCCTAGGAATATATAGACCTTATAGACACATCTATATAGACTATTTATATGACGGCATACTTACTTTCTACCAAAGCGTAAACAAAGTGCTCACTCAAATCGAAATGATAAACAGTTATCATAAGATAATGGAATAACCGCTTTTTCCTGGATTAGTTTAGAAGTCATTTTAAAATATGATTCCACGAGGGAAATCACGTTGTAACATGTTTTCACGGTAACTGTTCCACTCTAATACTCGATTCTTGGATTCAATTGATCTAAGGAACGAACTAAATTCGATTAACGAAAAAAAAAAAAAAACATTTGATGGAATTTATTTGGGTCCAGTTTAAGGAACATGGTTTGTCATTGTTACCCTTGTGACTATCATTATCATTAGAATTAGGTATTAGAAATAGCGATGGCAGTATCATTATAATTTGATAGTAATAATTAAATTAATCTTAATTTTAATAATAATTAGCATTGATTATTAGCATAAGCATTTGCATTTTCATTAACAAGAGCATTATTATGACTATTAGCATGAGTATTACCATTTTCATTGCCATTAATATTAGAATTTGTTAATAATATAAAGATATATCGTAGTCGTAATCATTACCATTGACATTAGCATTAGAATTAGCTTGTGCAAGTAATATTAATCATTATTATTATCATTATTACCATATATTACCATATTTTAGTTCAAATTTGCCTACGTAAATATTTATTAGGGCATTTCCAGGTCGTCTAATGCACTCGCCTTCCCCATCTGCATCTTTCTTGTCGGACTCTTGATTATTCTGTTTACTTACGTATTTCAAACTTAATTTAATTTGATTGAAACGCCCCCTGACATCAGATCGTCGCACTTACATATGCACCAGATGATAATGTCTTAAAATAGTCTTCTTTTTGTATTGCCAAGTCGAAAATAAAATAATGTAATACAAATATTATATTGCACATAAACAAATGCTTATACATATGATGTTAACCATATCAATATTTTTGTATGATTGAATTGTTTTCTGTTTATTAAATGAAATACATATAGAAATAAGATTATGAACATATGTATATGTATGTATGTAGAGTATATTCCCTCTATCTAAACGCCACTTGAGTAGTGACAGGAAACAGGAAAGTTCTGATATGGCATTTAGTATAGGGGAGATAAGTTTTGCTTTACCTGTTTACTTGGTTACACGTTGTGATTGTTGACTGTAATTAACACTACTCTGTGGTAAGCTATGAATGACTAGCACTAAGGGCTGACTACTTGTTGTTTACCCCATGTATTGGGCGATCATTAAGATTTACTAACTTGTTTACAAGATGCCCAAGTTGACTTGCTTGTGCAGCTATCCTTGACACGGTGGCCCGTCTGAAGGCAGCCTGAAGGTCACAGAACACTGACCCACTGCGAGAGGCTACTCTCACAGGCACACACACACATACACAGTTACATATTACATGATGTTCTGGGCATATCCAGCGATTGAGTCAAGCGGCCAGTACATTGACATTGGAAATACATACAAAAGAGAATGCCTATGAGGTCGCATATGTGTGCGTGCGTGTGTGTATTCGAATCGCGTGATCGCGATAAGCTGTTTGGCGAGCAGCGAATCAGAGGGTGGCCAGGGAGGGAATGAGATGGAAGAATGTTTGCTAAGTAGCGCACATGTAACAGCAAAGAGAGCGCAAGAGCGAGCGCGCGAACAAGAGAGTGCAAAGAGCAAGGAGCAAAGAGCGTTGTAAAAGAGTTGCGGCTCTTACACGACAAGAAAGGAGCACACGAACAGACAATGGAAAGATCTGGTAAATAAACATACATAGTTGGGGAAGTGTGTGGGAAAAACTTGCAGTCAGACTTATCAGCAATTATGATGATGATAATGATGCTGATGATATTGACGACGATAGATATTACATCAGCCAATGCAGACATTAAGGAATGGCAACGAGCATTCGGGCTACTATTCCAGGAAATTTATGTTCCAGCGGGAAAGTAGGCAAGGCGGTAAGAAAAAAAAAAACCAAAAATAAAAATTACCGCCAGGAAAAAACAGAAAAATGTGCACATCATGTTGTCCAGGTGTCCAGATAAGCGCAATGAAATACATGGTTTTTTTTTCTAATATGATAAAAATGAAATAAATATGTTTATGTATGTCAACATGCGTTTTGTCTGTGTTGACCGAGTATGTGTGTGTTCAGGTAGAAAAAATACTGCTAAAATTCAAGAAGCAGCAGAAGATGAGAAGGAAGCGCGTATGCGTCAGAGCCGCATAGTTTGTATTTGTCCATCTAATGCGTTTTAAGATATTATGTGATATACTATGCATATGGCGCCATATACCAATACCAACATACATGACAGCAATACTAATTAATGGATGTATGGCTATATTTGCATAGGTACTTTTGTACTCGAGCAAGTTTTTTGAAATGATTGGAAATCATTTATTTTTTTTCTATTTCGGAAATTGCGTATTTAGAAACAAGTTGTTTATCGGCAATATTGTTTCATATATTGTTTCATTAAAAAAAAAAAAAAGGAATGCATAACATTTAATTGAAAATTTCTAAAGGAAAAATTCAATATATTTTTTTGTGTTGTTTTGACATGGACTTTAGCTATGCGAAAAAAATAATGATCTATTTTGGACTGGGCTGATACTAGAGTATTTTTGATTTATCATGCTCTGCCAGCATAGTCAATGAATCATTGGCTTATCCCTTCGCAATTTCAGGCCGTATCAGTTGGCTTAGATAACGTATTACGTTTTAGATAAATATTTATTTACTTAAATAAAAAATAAACTTAAATAAATGGGCGTACATACATACATATTTAGATTATCATGGTATATACATATAATGTCTATTGAAAAAGCACTTACGCACAAAGCAAGCCGAAAAAAGAATGAAATGAGAATTTACAAAATTAACAAGACACAAAACAAAAAAAAATCATCTTCAGCAATATTTCGAATTAGAAGCTGAACGACAGACAAAGACTTAACCGAATTCGCGGCGAATTGTTGTTGCCAATCGAAACGAAATAAAAAGTTAAAACAAGTAGAAGACAAATGACCGAAAAATAAGCAAAAAAAAGCGAATTTGAGTTCAGTCACTTTGACGGTCTGTCGTTCCATTGCTTAGTCGCCGCAAAGCTCCGGCTACTGCGTTCAAATAAGTATATGGTAGATGTGTGTGTGTGTGTGTATGGCCGCTACTTCGCCTCGTCTCGCCTCGTCGTGCCTATATGACTTCGCCTACAATTATGTTGTCTCCCTTGGTCGCTGCTAGCTGAGCGAATTGCTATGCTCTTAAAAATGGCTGCTGGCCGCATTGAACGGTAAACGGAACGCTCTCGCTCAGTGCTGCTGACGTCGACTGTTGTTGTTTCTGTTTCTGTTTGCCGCCGTCACGAGCGCTTCTGCTCTGCCTATACATAGAGGCGCGCACGGCGACAGGAGCTCAGTTCTTGCAGAGACTCTGCGTTGTGCACACGTACCGTACGACCAGAATATACGAAATATATATATTATATATATTTTTATACACATCTATTATCACAATATTCAAAAGAAAAGAATAAAAAAAAAATAAATAAAAAAAAAAACAGTCTAAACCAGACGAGCGTATACTATATACACTTATTAATAATTATCTGTCCATGCGTCAAATTTATGCTCCCTGTTGATAAAGATTAGACCCAAAACTTTTGGTGAAAGAAGTGCGAAACGTGCAAAAAGTTATTCAGCAGAAATATTTCAATAATTATAAATTATTATTTATATTTATTTATATTTCCATATATTTCATATATATACATATAAGTCGCGTGTGTGTGTGCGTGTGCGTGCCGGAAAAGTGCGTAAAGCTTTTCCAATTATTTATTTTGTTTTGTTTTGGTTTTGTTTTTCAACAAATTTCGCGCGCTTGGGCGTTAACACTGAACGCTTGTCAGAATGACTACCAAAATGGCAATAAATGCAAAGGTTCGTACTAACTGATATACTATTTAATAAGATTGTTTAATAGGCTAAAACATATTTGAAAAAAAGAAAACAAATACAAAAATCAGTTCTTGAGATTGTTATAGTTCGATTTTAAGCAACGTCAAAAAAACACTACATGGAAACAACTGGAATATTGAAAGCACTAAGAGAAACATTATTCCAGATTGTGTCCAGCATACAATACATAAAAAGCAACTTAGCAACAGGTGTGCCGCGCAGCCCAAACAGGTGCGCTAATAGTCAATATTTGTGGAATATGGATCGTGAAACTATAACAAAAGCATCAAAGTGAATAAGAACGCAGCAAATAGCTTCAAAACTCAAAATTTTTTACCTAGATTAACCAAATACCAATAATTCCAATAAATGATATATGTACATATGTATATACAACTTAACTATAGATCTTACTTATCTAGACTATATCTATATTGTAGATTATATACATATAAAATAAATACATTTCTATTTGATTTTAGTTCTTCATTTCAATTTTGAAAATATGTATGCTTTAATGTCTCAAAGTCTATTTTAGAGTTACATGAGCTTAGAAGTTAGTTAGTTGCATATATTCAAGATAACTAGAGTTCAAACATCTTAGAATAGCAAACTACTAAATATTTTGCAACTTCGTTTTTGCTAGAAGATGTAATGTTTAAAATATATGTAAATATTCTAATATAGGAAAAAAACGTTAGAGATAATTTTCTTTATCATGCTCAAAGTAAATTTAATGAATGCCTTTTAAATATCATAAGAGCTATCCTACAATTTTTTCATTTAATATTTTGAATTCAATTTTAAGTAGAAAGAACTTAAGGGAAAAGGAAAAACTTGGAAGCTTCAGCTGGAAAAGTAGCCGAGTTCAATGAGTGTGTTTGAAATCAGTTTACGACAACTATCATTTTTTTTTTTTTTTTTTTTTTGCATTTTTGATTATTATGATTATTTATTTATGTTTTTTCTTTGGAAATTATTTAAAAATAGTTTTCTTTTATATTTGGCTGGCACTAAGCTAATGTATTTATAAATTTTAAGAGAACTAACGAAAAAGAAATGAAAAAAAAAAAAACAAATTGTTTATTGCACTCGATGCATTCGGCTTATCTCCAGGGATTTGCTTAATGATAAGCCAACGGCACATGTTCACCTGTTCGTGCCCCGCCAGACTAGACCCATCGCAGCGCTCCTCAAGTGGGCTCTGATATGATATATACATTTACAGGCCACACTAGCACACATACACCCATATATGTGTATATATAAGTATATGTGACTATATGGCAGACAATCCGGCTCCGATTCGGGCAAACTCAAAGCATACGCGCGTTTGGTTTTCGGTTTGTGCTTGAACTAGTTTATTTTTTCCCTCAATATTTTCGAACTGATTTGTGGCTGATGCAATGCGCCGCACGAGTTGCTCAGTTTTTCGCTATTCAGCAGATATTACTTTATATTTATTATGCTTTATTTAAATACTTTTGGTGTTCCGGCATGAAGACACCAAACTCAACTATTTCATCATAATTGTAACTGGATGGGCCATGGCCAGAGCTGCACAGGGTAGGGGAAGGGCGAAACTTTTGCATATTTGTCATTGAATCGGCCTATGATTGATAGACATTTTCGATTAGAATCTGTTATTGGGCGCTATTTAAGTGGGGGTCTACGCGTTGTATACTAAAAATTTTGACCTCTTGCAACAAAATATCAATTTGTTATGATGGCTATAAATATTGTCGTGGATCTGCCATAATAAGATGACTACGCAATTTTTGATTCCAGTAATATTATTCCGATTAGAATATAGAATAGTTATAAGGGTAAGGGTAATGAGAGGTCAAGAAGAAGATATATGTATAGATAAAGATAAAGATATACATAGATATAGATATAGATATAGATATAGATATAGATATAAATATAGATATAGATATAGATATAGATATAGATATAGATATAGATATAGATATAGATATAGATATAGATATAGATATAGATATAGATATAGATATAGATATAGATATAGATATAGATATAGATATAGATATAGATATAGATATAGATATAGATATAGATATAGATATAGATATAGATATAGATATAGATATAGATATAGATATAGATATAGATATAGATATAGATATAGATATAGATATAGATATAGATATAGATATAGATATAGATAGATATAGATCTTCTCCTTCTTCCTCTCCTTATGGGACAGCACTTCTATGCGATTCTCAGCTAGTTTTTGGTGTTAAATATTATGCGTCGCGTCAATGCTGTGGCAAATCAAGCTATATGGCACGCTTGTGCCCCGATCCCATTATAATGAGATGCTAATACCTGGAATTCGTTAAGACTCAATTTACAACCTGACTTTTGTGTAGTTTATTTAAATTGGAGCTCAGTACATCTGGCATTTCGCATTAGAGCTGCCCGTGGCCCATTTTAGTACGCATTAGTATTAAAGGTATATAGGTATACCCAGAGTTACGTATTTATATACATATATACATATACATCTATGTGTGAGTGTGTCTCGACAAAGCAGAGTTCTAAGCGAGGTTGTTGAACGACCGTTCCTACAAGCATATACGATGTATATTATGTATATAGATTTGTACATACATATATGTATGTGTATCGTATATCCCTCTTTCTCTTCCTCTTCCTTCACTTTGCTCTACGCTCTTCGATCAGCCCTCGATCGGCTTCTGCTATGCAAATGGAGTTCGCCTTTGAGGCCAACTCGCATTCGTAATGCCCGCCCATGCGCCAAATTTTCGTATCTAACTCAATTAGCATTCAATTTCGCTGTCTGCCGCAAAACAGGTGTAAATCACTTATAATTTTAGATCTAGCTAATTTTAAGTTTAATGAAGCGTATTTCAATGTTTCACGAAAAAAAAGAGTGAAAATAAAATGAATAAATTATTAAATTTCGCTAGAAATAGCTAAAACGCTTTCGATATAAAACTTGTTTCAAATTTTGATGGATTTTGATGGATTTTGATGGATTTTGGCATCTAAATACAACAATGCAATAACGATATCAATTCTTTAGGTTAGCTTTCCCATCATATAAGATTCTGATATATGTAGTACATTCTACAACAAGAAAAATATTCAGTTGTAGAACTAGGAATTCGATAGAATTCTCTCCAAGTACTCTGAATATTGGCAATTGGCTAAAATGAACAAAAATGATAAAAAGGAAATTATATTTCAAACTTCGATTCGCGAGCTTTGTTAGTTATATAGTATATAAATATGTAGTTTGATATGATATATCGATTGCATAGTAACTAAGCTTGGCAATTATGTTGAATGTTTTGCAGGATATTTTCCGCAATCAGCATCGCTTGATCCGCTTCATTGAGCAGTCGATCAGGCTGTGCAGCAATCAGTCGCTGAAGACGGCACAGCAGCAGCATCAGAAGAGCAATGCCACAGCCGATTTCGAGATCAGCGCCTCGGTCAACACAGAGTACACACACGCCCCGGAGCCGATCAAGCACGACAAGGACTTGGGGCAACAGTTCAAGGCGTCACAGCTGGCTGTGCGCCTGGCCACGCCCCAACAGCTGCAGCCCAAGCCGGACAACGACGAGGAGCTGGGTTTCGGCAAACTGTTCACAGATCATATGCTCAAGATCTACTATCACAGGAGTCTGGGCGGCTGGCAGAGGCCGGAGATAACGCCGCTGGAGAATCTAGTCATGCATCCAGCTGCCAAGGTGCTGCACTATGCCGTTGAGGTGAGTGGATCCGCTTAGTTGCGTTAGTCGCATCGACATCGCCATCCACATCGAATGTCATCCCAGCTGATTCGCTTCTCCCATCGTTGCAGCTCTTTGAGGGCATGAAGGCCTACCGCGGCGTGGACGGCAAGATACGCATCTTCCGGCCGGACATGAACATGGCCCGCATGAACTTGGCCGCCCAGCGGTCCGGCCTGCCCACCTTCGAGGGCAAGGAGTTTGTCAAGTGCCTCGCCCGTCTGCTCTCCATCGACTCCGAGTGGGTGCCACACACAGAAGCCGCCAGCCTCTATATCCGACCCACCCTGATTGGCATCGATGTAAGCTCCGCTAGCCAAGCTCAACCCCAAGCCACGTTGACCTTTGTCCTTTGCCATTGCAGCCCACGTTAGGCGTCGCCTCATCCGACTCGGCGCTGCTCTACTCCATACTCAGCCCGGTGGGCAGCTACTTCAAGACTGGCAGCAATGGCGCTGTCTCCCTGCTCGCCGATCCCCGATACACGCGCGCCTGGCCCGGCGGCGTGGGCAATCGCAAAATGGGCTCCAACTATGCACCCACCATCAACGTACAAAAGGAGGCTGCCGCCCGCGGGCTCCAGCAGGTGCTCTGGCTCTACGGCGAGGACCATCAGCTCACCGAGGTGGGCACCATGAACATCTTCATGTTCTATGTCAACGATCAAGGAGGTGAGTAACCAGTGTTGCACAACTTTTAACACTCCTGGGCCTATTGGCTCTTTGCCTCTGATCAGTTTCTCTGAATGATTCGAGTCTGTGCTAGAAAACTTTATCCAAGTCTTTTGCTGCTTCTCCACTTTTCTGCATATTCGCTGAAAAAGAAGAAGGAATTGCTATTTATTTATTTTATACAATTTTATTTTCCAACCTTAACAATTATTTTTTATTTAAAAATTCCAAAATTGATAAACCTTTTTTTTTTCTAAAATATTTATTGAATTTTACATTTTATTTTGAAATAACAAAATTTATTTAATAAAAAAAAAATATATATTTTAAAAATTAAATTTTTTTTTTTAAATTTGATTTAAAATATTTATGAAAAATAGTTCTTGAGTTTTTATTTAATTTCAAATATAATTTTTCCATCTGATTTTAGAACAAGAACTGATAACCCCGCCGCTGAATGGTCTGATACTGCCCGGCATCACGCGCGACTCCATCCTGTCCATGACCAGACAGTGGGGCAAGTTCAAGGTGCGCGAGGGCGTCATCACCATGTCCATGGTCACGGAACTGCTCAATCAGGGACGCGTAAGTAGATTACATATTGGCTCTCTAGTTTGCACCGATGCTGATTCGATTCGATTCGATTTGATTTGGCTCCATTCAGCTGCTGGAACTTTTCGGCACCGGCACCGCCTGCGTCGTCAGTCCCGTCAATCGGATCAACTACATGGGCCAGGATCTGTACATACCCACCATGGAGCAGGAGAAGCCCGTCCACGAGCTGATACGCGAGACCCTGACAGACATACAGTATGGCAAGGTGGATCATCCCTGGTCCGTGGTGATTGACTAAACAACAACTACTACTTCAATGAAGCCCAACATCCACCGGATCAGCACGAGTTGTGTATTAGTAGGTTATATAGAGTTCCGATACGTACTCCTGGGCTGGCGATGTGCTCGAATTTTGTTTGTTTGTTGCATTTAAGGAATGCCCGAGAGCATTCGGTCTATACGTAAAACGCATACATAATACATATCTATTATATATACATATATAAAGTTAATGCTAAGTTAAGGGCCGGTCTTGCACCCATGGCTATATAGTTACTATATACCATATCTATATCTATCATTTCTCTATAAGTCGCACATTAACCTTTTTTTTTTTTATTCATAATTTATTTATGCACCCACTTTTTTTTGTTTTTGTTTTGATATGTATACATATTTTATTTTGTCATGCATTTAACTTATACGGCTCAGATCAATTAGGAAACAAAGCAATTTATGGTAGAATGAAATGTTTTAAGATTTACGAATGCCTTTTGCAAGCTTTTACTTCCAAATTTAATATGAATTAAAAGAAAAAAAAAACGAAAACAACAAAAAAATAAAAAAACATTGCCAAAGTTAAGTTCAGGAACTGCCAAAAACTAAATCTAAAAAAAAAAAAAAAAACTCAAACAAAAACAAATTAATTTTGGAAACGTACCGGAGGCAAATGCATTTATTAGTTTGTAAGTAGCCAGAATTGAGTCCAAGTTGAACAAAAGACGCATTTCTGGAATGTATTTTATGTTTTTTTTTTTTTTTTATGGCTTAATATTGGAGGTAAAGGCAGCCCCAGGTGCGCTGCAGAGCAAGCTGTGACTAAACTATTGTATCTAGCTGTTAGACAAGTCATCTATACAGTACCTATACACTTACATATGCGTATGTATACGAGAGCTAAATCTAATCATATGAGTCGAAGCGTAAATAAAAAAAAAAAAAAAAAAAAAAAAAAAAAAAAAAAAAAAACAAAAATACAAAAATAAATCTAAATATAAATGTAAAAAACGCCCATAAAGCGAGAAAAACAAAAATTACTTTGTGCCTTGTAAAGTTTAGAAACTTGTTATAAATGTGCTGTTTTTAAAATTGCCGGGCAATTTATGCAGATTTCGTGCGCAGCTCGACTGGAAGCTTAAAACATTTTCGCTGTGCGCAAAAGTATGCAATGAAATTGTGTATTGTAAAGCTGCACTGTATTAATGCACCGTGGCAGACAGACAACCAATGGCTTAAGAACCCTCATAACATTATATATATTATGTTAAAATTAGATTTATTACGAATTGCTATTTTAGTTTACAATAAATATGCTCAAGTTAAAAAAACACAAGAAACAAATTGTAACTGATTCTATCCATAGCAGCTCAGCTTTTGTCAGCGAGCATTCAAAACATACGCAGCCCAAAAGTATGCTACGTAAAATTAACTGACTAATGCACGGACAAGAAATATTGTAGTTGAGTGAAAATATATATTTAAGATAATTAAAATATATAGCTATTACAAAGAATAATGTTTATATAGTTTGTAATAATGTAAATAAAGCTATAAATAAATGCGGCACACCCAATAATCGAATACTTAACTCTTATGTATTTTTCCGCTTCAGCCCAAAAGTACGCAGCTTAAAATAACATGTGTGCCACCCTGTGCACCTTGGGGCCAATGCGTATTGTAGCCGTAGAGCACAAAACCAAAAGAAAACACAATTTGATTGCACGTAAAACAAATATATATATGTATATGCGTTTGTGTGTTAATGATGCATCAGCATTGGCAGTGGCTGCCTGGATCATTTCGATAGTCTTCGAGTGTCGATGTGTGAATCGTGGAGTGTGGACACGGAACCAGTTGAACCAATCAATTAGCTACCTAAGCCTAATCCTAGTGCTCTTTCTAGTTACTTCAGTTAGTCAGGATTGATTCTGGAGTCAGTTAGTGGGTGTGAGTATCTTCGTCTTTGGCGCATGATGGCAGATTGAAGGTCATTCGCTCAAAGCTGGTCAGCTTGCAAGGACGCACCTCGTCGATGATCTCTCGCGGCTGGGCGCGCAGCAAGCGCATGCGCTCCTCATCGATGCGACGCTCCGTGTCCGCCTCCATATCGAGTATGGCCTGCTTGAGCATGCGGTCCTCTTCGATGGCCAGGGCGCGGAGTCGCGCGTTGTTCGCTATTTCGGCGGCGCTGCCGGCGGTGCCCTTCTGGTTGATCTCGCGCCTGGCCGCCTCCTTGGCGAGGGTCTGTTGATATTGGCGCTGCATAAAGCTGGTGGCATCCGTGGGTATTTTGCTGAAGAGCAGCTCGTTCTTTTCGCGGAAGAACTCCTTCTCCTCGTGCTGCTCAATCAGATCCTTGGCCACCTGCAGCTTCTGGTTATGGCGGTCCAGCACCTCCTGGCGCGCCTTCTGCTTCTCGCGTGCCTGTCGCTCACACACCAAAATATCGGCCAACATATTGTCGTGGGCCTCCTTCTTGCCGCGTATCTCGGCCAGCTTAACGGAAAGGCCGTCACTGATGAGACGTCGTCGCTCCAATATGTCCAGCTTCTGCTGAATCGCCTTCCTCATGAAGCTCTTGGTGACTGGGCCCACTGCCTCCATCAGTATCACATTGAGCTTGTCCGGTGGCACCGGATTCGCTTCACGCAAGCTGCGCTGCAGCGCCGAGAAGTCGTCGAGCATCTTCTTGAGCTCCGTTCTCTTTCTAAACTTGCTCTCGATGCCCTCCTTCAGATCGTTGGCGTGAGCCTGTTCGTCGTTGTAGCGCTTCAGTCGACCCTCCTCCAGGTCGGCCATCTGTTTTTCTGCCCGCTCCGCCTGCAGCTTGCGTATCTGGGCCACCAGCTGTTGGCTGTATGCGAGCGTCTTATCCCGCAGGGCTTGCTGCTCGGCCAGCTTCTCTTTGCGCACCTGCTCCCGGTCCTCGAGTGCCTCCCTGCGCTCCTCCACCCGCTCCTTGCCCTTGTTTCGCATGTTCTCGTTGCGCTTGCTCACCACGCTCAGCGTGGTCTTGGCCCGTTCGATCTCAATCTGCAGATCGCGCACCCTCTGCGAGTTGATCTGCAGCTGCCTGGACCGCATCGCCTCGGCGAACTCCCGATTGTTGCGCTTGGCCAGCATGCCGGCGATGAGGGCCGACTGCCGCTCCCGCTCCTGTATGGGATGGTAGTTCTTGTTCCGATCGTCGGCTATCTGCTGCACCTGGTACTTGACCTCGCGATAGAGGCGACTTGTCGCGCTGGTTGGTGCCAAGACCAGCGGCGAGGCATCCATCTCCAGGGCCCTGTCCCGGCCTTCTCGTGGCAGAGGCTTAAACAGGCCCAGCATATCGCCCACCGGCTCCTGCGGCACGGTCGCAAACAGCGACACGCCCGGATCATCCCAGGCGCCGTACTGAATGCGCGCTGGCTCAATGCGACGCCGTCGTCCTCGACGCATTCCCTCAGCCATGATGCCGCCAGTAATACTCTCTCGCACTCAAATCAGCTCTCTTATTGTTGTCCTTCGTGTGTGCCCTACTTTCGTCTTTCTTCTGTTCTCTGTTTTTTCGTGTCGATGCTCTTGCTCTCGAATCATCCAAACTAACTCCTAGCTGTGTGCTTGAAACTGAACAAAACTTACTGTTGAACTGACTAGCCTCTCAGCCTGTAGCCCATGTGCCCTATTTGCCTTGACGTCTAGCGCTCGGGTAAAGCGATTCGGGGAGCACCCTATAAATTATGAGATAGGGGTATTCCTTAGGGTCAACTGATTTAATAAATAAAAAAATATACAAAATATATAAGATATATAAATATTTGAATAACACAATTATTGCATTATTTAGCTCTATTTGAGTATAGTAAGTTAAAAAAAAAAAAATTAAATATTTTAATATCACATATAAAACATATAAATAATATATAAAAAAAAATAAATTTCTAATTGTTTATACAAAATATTCTTATATAATAAATAACTAAAAAACAAATCACAAATTATTTATAAAATAAAATAAATACACAGTTAAAAAGTAATTCGAAATTAGTTTATGAATCAAACTAGATATTTCAATGTAATACTAAATAAATTCTCCTTGTAAACTTATTGAAACTTTTTTTTATTATTTGTATTTTTTGTCTTTTAATTTCAAATTTTATTATAATTTTTTTTTAGTTGTACACTGACAATTTGACTTTTTTTCTTTAGTTGTACAATTTGACTTGAAGTTTAAACATTCTTCTTATTCTTGTTGTTGTTGCTTGGTTCGGTTAGAATTTGGGGTAAATAACTTTTTGAAAGTGTTTACATTTAGAGATGAATGTAACTCAGCATAGAATGCTGGATATTCGCGTACAAACCTAATTAAAGACTAGTAAGATAATAGTCGCCGCTTGGCAATGCTCGACTGCGACTATACCCTGTACTTAACAACTGTACGAATGCAAGTTTAGTTATAGATGTTGGTAGTTTGATATTATAAGTATTAAAAACGGATTTAGCTACACATAGAATTGACGGACTCATGACTCATGACGGACATACTTTCATAGAGTAATACTTCGTTATATATATTTCTATATATATAAATGTTTCAACTGCTACAGTAATACTTTTGAATTTAATTCTGAAAACATTTTCGTACTCAACTTGTAGTTCGCTCTTACGACTTTTAGTGGTCGATAATTTTGGATGGACCGAATGGCATTTAACGAATGCTTTCCAGCATTTCTGACGGCAACAACTTTCATTGGCAGAATTTCAGAGAGCCCTATATATAGAGAGATTTTTATTATGACATTCTATATCTCTATGCTCTATGCATACTTTTTCTATTATTTCATATCTATGCGTTCGCACGCTCGCTCGCTCGCTCTTTGGCTCTAGCGCTGTCTCTTTCTAAATCGTGTTTAAGACTTAAGTTTTATGTGATTTTCTCGTAATCATATTTAAAAGTTGACCTTTGTCCTGCGCGGGGGGCAGTGAGCGGAGGGCATTCACTTACAGTACTTTAAATTCACAAATTCTATTTTTCGCCCAAAATTCAACGAATCACAAACTACATTTTTTTTTTGTTGCTAAACGTTAAGTTTTCATCTTTTGCTATGAACTAACTAGAATTATGTGGAAATTCGCGTATATGCCAAATATCAGCAACTCTATATATATATATATATATATAGATATATATATGAATATTCTGCATATTTCAGTTAAGATTCGGCAACTTCCTACACTTTAGTTGAGATCTATCTTGCTGAACTTAGGCTCAGCTCTAAAAAAAAAAATACATAGAGAAGTAAATACAATTTGGCTGTAACTGTTATCGATCTGTTGAACGATTGTAATACATAAAGTTTTTTATAAAAGATATTTATCAATATTTAACACAAAGGCAATTTGTTAAAACAAATACGTTTGGAATTTGGATTTGCTTGATTTTTGATCGCACAATATCGATAACGATAACATGATCGATAACTGGTTATTATTCGGCTTCTGCTTCAACTTCTGTTTCCGCTTCCGCCTTCTGTTGTTCGTCACAGCTTAGCCTGTGCTCAACTACTTATTGTTATTCTCCTGCAATAGATCCTCGAGTGCTCCATTCAGTCGCCCCTTGCTGAGCGCCTCGACGAGCATGTGCAGCCGCTCCTCGCGCTCCGAGTGACGACGCTCCAGCAGCGAGACCTGCAAGGATTCAGAGTTTACCAAGTGACATTGGGGTATGCATATGTTTAGTCGGGGCCTTACCTTAGCCTTCAGGGCATAGTAATCGACGGGCACCTTGCGCCGTTTCTGGGTGGCGAACGCCTCCTCGCGCTCATTCAGACGCTGCTGCAAAATGCGCACCGTTTCGTTGCACGAGGCCAGCTCTCGCTCGTGGGCGCTCTGCAACGTCTTTAGCTAGACAAAGAGAGGCGGGCAGAGAGCGCAAGAAAGAGAGAGATGTATAGATTAGCAACTATCCCATTACATTAGCCACTCGATTGGCACTCACATCGTGCAGTCGCTTGTCATGCAACGTCTTGTAGTCCGCCTCGAGCAGATGGAATTTGTTCTGCGCCTCCTTCAGTGCCTGATTTTCCGTGGTCGCCGGCACATGATCCGGATAATGCTGATGATAATGATGATGATCGTGCCCACGACGCTGTGCAGCGCCGCCGCTGGCCGACATGCTAGCGCCATGTGAACGAGAGCCTGGAAGGAGAAGTGGAAAACGGTTGCATATGAAATTTTTGAATGTGATGAATGATGTAATTATACATATATGCATATAAATCTCTATAAACAATAATCTTTTAGAACAACTCTCATCCTAGGTTAGTTACATCTAATACGATTGAGAACAGACAAAATTTTTGATATAGCTAATTCTTAATTCTCTATTTTGTACACCCGGAACCCTTTGAAAAGGGTACTTCAGTTTTGATTTTGTGAATGTAACAAATAGAAGAACGCTTCTATG